TGTACTCCATGTATGCCGACGACACAAAAGTTTATAATGCAGTGAAGGATGCGTCAAATAAAGCGCAATTGCAAGATGATCTTGACAGTTTAGTGAACTGGGCTGATACGTGGCAGCTGCGGTTTAATGCTGACAAGTGTTAAGTACTTCACCTCGGGAAGAACAATGAATAGCAAGATTACAGTATGAGAAGGCATGGTTGCAACGAGAGAGTAATGATTGAAAAGTTTAGTGTGGAAAAAAATCTCGGAGTTTATGTCGACAAGGAGCTGAGATTTTCTAGCATGTTGCAACGCAAGCTAACACATCCAACAAACTTCTCGGACTAATCAGACGCTCATACGGGTTCCTAGATGCAGAAGCGATGAAGCAGTTGTTTGTTGCGGTCGTGCGCCCGAATCTAGTTTGGAAACGTTCAAATAGAGAATGTTCAAAGACGTGCAACATGGATAATTCCAGGCTTGAAGGGCAAGTCCTATCAAGAAGGATTAAAGATTATGAAGCTTCCAAGCCTCAGGTATCGACTTCTGCGTGGGGACCTCACTGAAGTAGACAAGTATACTCATGGTTTATACAAAGTCCCCGAAGGTTTACTAGAATTTGAAACAAGAACCAACACCAGAGGCCACGGCTATAAACTAAAAAAAACTGCGCTGCAACTTCTCCACGCGACAACATTTCTTCTCGCTTCGAATCACCGACATGTGGAACAGCCTCCCCGATTACACCGTTGGCGCTCCAAGTATGAACGCGTTCAAGAACAGACTAGATAAAGCTATGGAAAAATATGTGTACAGATTTAAAATGCCTTGCAGCATATCGAACCCGGTGGAAGTCTAGTAGCTATTTCAAACTATCGTCCGTCTTGTTCTATCGTCAAAAGATCCGGTCAAATGACACGATTTAAGATCTTCTGAGAACAAGGCACGAAAAGCAAAAGAACTGGCGACAGGCCACATCAGGCATACACTTCAGCGCCGGCATTACTATGTTATGCTATGCTACGCCTTCGGGCAAATAAAATTATCAAAAGTTTCACTCCAAGACTTCAATTATTGACGCCATGAGGCATGAGTGATATTGACTCAATCTGCCCAATTTTGCGGTCAGGCATTAAGGTGTGATGTATTAGCATTGATTAATAATTTAATATTAGGTACAGGTACAACAGAATCATGTAATAATAATTTTGAGATCATCTGTGATTAGTTAGTTAGACTTAGAGTTAGTGTTAGCGTGCTAGGAATTTCTAGTATAAGTGGGAATGTTGCTACTTAGTAGAAATTTTCACAGAAGATATCATATCTTGATCTTCTTAAGTTTTAAGGCATTTCATAATCCAAGATTACATTAAATTGTCAAATGTCAACTTGTTATAAAGTGCATCCATAGAATAAACACAGCAGTCTGTGCAAAAAAAAAAGTTTTTTAATAATCGTTAAATTTTCTCTCAAATTTGAGGAGTAACCACACCATAGAACTCCGTGACTATCAACCTAAATTTGCTTTCCGTTATTTCTTACTTTCATGTATCGGTTCCTTGACGGATGTAGATAGCTCTACGTACAATAAACCTACTCAAAGAATCAGTGAGTGGAATTTCAAGGTCTTAAAAATTCTTATCTTCCTCCTAAATATGGGTCTACCGTCTATAATTGTATAATGTGGACATTGGACAGCATAATTAAATTAATAGCCTATGCATACCTATGTAGCATTCTCGTTCAGGATTTTGAATATATGTAATGAAATATTTAGAAATTTAGAATAAGATTCAAGTGTAAAAATAAAATTTCGTTTATATGTGAACGTCAGTTACGTCACCATTTGTCGTCAACTCGTCATTCCACTGGAACCTCTTATTAGAGTTTCTGTACCGAGACCAGTAAAAGCGTCTGTTATTTCCTCACACGGGATCGTGAGTCACGATTTCGTGAGATACTTTACATACAATGATACAACATATATGGAGCAACCATTTATGAGCTTTACGGAATTTTTACAGTAGCAAACATAAATAAGTAAATTTGGTACAACTTCAAATGTTGGCAATGGTAGGTTACTTACCTAAGGTGACCAGGTGAGGCACAGGTCCATTACAAAGGTCGATGACAGCGCCGACATTCTAACCAATCGCCAATTCGAAGTAACTAATCTGTAGTAGTAAAAGAACAAATCGTGACATATTCAAGTTCTGATTATTCAAACTGTACATAAAGATCGTTAACAGTGATTCCGATTAACGAAACAATTCACATCAGTAACATTAATTCAAAACGGGAAGATGGCACCAAGCTAGCAAACATTACGAATGCAAATGAACTCCAAGAAACTTCGAGCGTTAGCAGTGAAATGCCACTGGCGCCATCTATAGGTTTTAACCCCTAGAACCCAAATTCGTCAGATATTGTCGTTTCCAACCCGATATTTATCTTTTGCCAGAAAAAAACGACTATAGATAACCAAATTCTGCTCTTCATACTCGTACTCTTGCGCAGTAGAGTGAATGATGACGAGTGTGATATGAAAGGGTTTTTACTTGTGAGATGATTAACTAAGAGTTGCGTAATTAGGCCTAGTTTGGAGGCTTTAGCCCTTCTAAAAATATTCCTAGGCCCCTGAATGATCTTATGCTCATTTATTAAAGTAATAATTTTACAACAAAACACACCGACCTTGCAAATAAGTGGCCTGAGTACAATTTTAAATATATATTAATGATACCAGTCGTTGTCAACTTAAGCATAATCATAAATCTTGATGGGCTTATCACCCCATCCTCATTCCTTAAACCTGGTGACTCCCTTGCCAGCAAAGCTGAAAGCCTGAACGTTGGTTAGTTCTTGCTTTATAGTTGATGGAGAATAATTTTAGTTTAGGCTATACCTTACCAAAGATGAACGATCCACAGACAGAATTTGGTAATCATTTCTTCAACCGATAATGGCGCTTGTCTCCGAAACGTTGCCGATGAAAACCTGTTGAGTTTAGCTTATATTTTCTTTGATTTTAAACTGGTGGTTTATATACTATTCAAGCAAACTACTGATATAAGTTGACGGATGTTATGCTCTAAGAATATTTTATTATTCATTGCATTTCAAGATGTGATAGGTAGGATTCAGTGAGAAAATATCAGAGGTACAAATTTTCGAGTAAAAATGCAAGTTATCAATAATTTTAGGTAAGGAAATTTTGCACAGCGATTACGTCATGTAGCATTTATTCATGTATGCACTAGACATTCGACTGGTTACAAATTCTTCATATCAATGTCGATAAGATCGAGGAAATCTATTGCACAGCTCGTCATCGATCCTACCAACCATTGCTCGAAAAAAATTTATTATTCCATCAAAATTATTTATTGTTCCTCTAAAAACTTAGATCATTCAAAGTTTTTATTAACAGCAGCTTGAGAGCACGAAAGTTTCCAACGATCCAGGCATGATTTTACAGGCAACGGTCGAAATATCGAGGTCGCGAGTGTGTCACAAGAACGCCACTCAAATATGTTGTTCGCTAAATAAGTGATGACAGAAGGCCTCAGAGGACGAAAAACTATACGGATATACAAGATATTTAAAATTAACCACCTGCGTTACCCATAATTCTGCAATTGTCCAAAAATAGTATTTAATTCAGGGTGAAAAACTTATTGGCTGAGCCAATGACACCTAAAAGGGACAATAACAAAAACGACGTTTAGAAGTGGACACAGAGATCAATCTCTGATCTAGATCGTCATAATACATCGCTCATTCGATCGATCACAAAATCTTGATTCTAAATCTTGTACCTCATTTGCCAATAGTTACACAAATGGAGCCTAGTTTAAAATGTAAGCTTCACAAATCGATGGACAGATAACTGCAATCCTATTTCTTATTTAAAACTTGTATGCACAAAATTTATGAATGATTTTAACTGCACCTGGCTGTCATTTAGAAGAAAAAATGACCGACAGGCTTATAATGGTTTAAAATCGGTCCAGTAAAAGTCACAATTTTTAACAAAACTACAAAAAATCCATCACTAAATGTTTCCAGTAGATTTAGGTCATTTTAAATCAAACATAGCACAGTTAATTACTTTAACACGAGTGAAACTGTTTATTGCGGATATCGGAGAAGGAGAACCAGTGCATTAACCGGCAGTTTCCGATCCAGACTAGATTACAAAATGATTGTTTGAAAAAAATATAAACTATTCAAGGACCAGCAAGGCTTCAGAACACAGCTATCATTCGTTGTCTGATGTCCGCCACATCAAAAATCAACTTATGACATCATAGCAGGCTTCTTCAGTATTTTGGTTATATTGCTTTGCTGCACTTAACTCGAAATCTCGTGCTGTAGGAATAAGGCAATCCTCTTTACAGAGCACCAAACCGTCACATCTTATCAAATAAATTGCATGCATTCAAACATCATTCGTTGCTGAGTAGTATACTTTATTATTAATTTCAAATCACTGAACAACAATATTATATGTGAACTTTTGGATTCATAAACCAATACAATGTCCTCAAACTTAAGACTTTAAATTTGATAGTACAATGAGAAAAATGAATTGGTCACATAACTCACATTGTTCCAATAGGGACACACTTTCTTACCCACTGCACGATCAGAGAACGGATGCAGCACTGTTACGCCCTTTTACAAGGCCAAACTGTGTCAGGATGACGCACATTAGGCAAAACGTAGATCAATATTTGGACTAAGTCCTACTTATTTTCTGAATGATAAATGCTGCTACACTTACTCAAGTTGGAGGTTAGAAGCTCGATCTTTGGTGTGCTCAGTAGACTTGTTAGCGCCGCAAACTCAAAATTAAAGGGTAACTCAATCAAAAAAACTTTAGGTCCATTGTCCGCTTCAAGTCTGATTTCAGATTGCCGCTTCGTTTAAACTTTGAAGAATTTTCAGGTTTTGTGTCGAGACACCAATTTTTTCTCATATCTTATTCTCATCTGTTGAAATGAGAGAAAAATAATTTCATCCAAGACTTCATCAAACTTTAATGAAAATTAGAATCAATTTCTTTTACCAACATTCAGTTAGTCACAGAAGAACCTGCAGTGAATGACCATTTGAATTCTATAGTATAAAGGCAGATCGTACAATAAATTACATTTATGGTAATGGCTGATAAATAATAATTCAAACTCTACTAACGAACATTGAACTAGCTATGGATTGAATGATAACCAATAGTTTTCTTACCGAACTTTTTGGAATAGTTGTAGTTATATTGCTGAGTTGTACACAACGAGTTTCGAGTAGTCTATGTACAGATAGATAGTTCTGTTCCAATATTCATTGCTCGGTACACTCATCGATCAATTTGATCAATTTTGACTTTTGATCCATTAGTTCTTTCATCTCATTAATTTACAAATACATTACTAAATTTGTCTAACTATTCAAATTTACTTTTGGATGAAAATAATCGCACGTTTCTGACTAAATTTTAAGATAGTTCTTAGTTATGAAATATTTCAAACGATACATCAACAGCTAATAAATGTTTATAACCTCGTTGAATATGCTAAAGTTCTAAATTATTTTTATGAAACTAAATTATAACAATAGTAAAGCGATCGAGATCGTTTCGATAATCTTATATACATTGCTACAACTAAATACAGTTCAACTCTACATTTCAAAACACGGAAAATACAAAGAAACCTGAGGTTTGTGCTGGAGGAAGGCCTTAATGGAAGAATCAATCATATCTCTCATCTAAGCAAGAATATAAACGTTCCCTAACTTCTACAGGAAAGGCGTCGAAACAGATCGTGCAATATTTAAGGCTGAAATACACGATATGTTCATCGTATAACTGATGTTGATCAGAAGAGGTCGTCGGCAGATGTGATGCAGGTGCCAAAAAGTGTTCTCTCGTAAGCGAGAAGCTGTCGCAACAAGCCAGGATGAAGGTGGACGGCGCTTCTGGCAGCTCTCACGTAATAGAAAGCATCTTCGAGAGTCGCTCTTCTTTCTGCCATGAGAAAAGCCATAACCAGAGCAGCCCCTCTAGTGAGTCCTTGGTCGCAGTGAGCCAAAACCCTGCCTCCAACCTCCCGAGCTTCGTTCACAAACGCCTGCAGGGTTGGAAGTGACGCCACCAGATCTGTACCCCCACTCGCTGGGTTCATATCTACAGGATCTTCTTCAGGTATTGGTACAACCAAGTAATTTAGGGCAGGGAGAACAGTGTGAGGGACTCGATCGGCTATGGCAACCACGTGCGTTATTCCAAGTGCCAGCAAAACTTGATCGTTACATGCCATTTCCGCGTGACCGAGATACAGCAATCCAGGGATGATAAGTGCCGGAAACCAAGGAGGAGGTTTGGCGGGTCCGAGAAGCTGGTCCCCCCCTTGTTCCATGAGGTAAAAACACGAGATCTGAAGAGCTTGCCATCCACCCATTACAACCTGGGGGTTCAACCGCAACTGCTTGAGTTTGTGATACAATTCAGGCAATGGTCCGGTTGCCTGTGGATCAGGAGCTTTGGCTCTAGGCACCTCATCATAAAGGACAATAGAATAGTAAGGCGGCAGGTCTTCTTGTATAGTTCCGTACCATTTGGAACGGACTAGTCTCCGCCTGGTGAATTGCTTTGCTGAACGGCAGTCAACGAGCAAGAGGTATGCTGGGTTGGCGGCATATGGGGCGTAAAATCCATCGGTCATGAGGTTGTGCAGGGCGATGGGGGTGATGCAGCCTGGGGGTGGGGTGCCCCAGTCCAGCATCTCGGGGGGACAGCTGACTGCTCGCTCCAGGGCCCACGATTCTGGAACGCATTTAATTAATATTAATTTTAATCGTAAATTTTAGGAATGAAAAAGATCGTATTTAATGCTTCATTACACCGAATGTTCCGTAAAACTGAATACTTTTATATCTTTCATCGAAAACCAGGAAGTAAATTATTTTTTAAGAGCGATTCCTATCCAATTCTTCACCATTATTTCACACAGACACCCTCATCCTAATGTTCGAAATCTTAATTATGCCAGTATTCTAGAATTAATATGTGGTTAAAAGTGCCTAAAATAAAAGAAATATGCATCTGCAACTGCTTTTCTGTATGTATTAAAATTAACGCGGAAAATTAAAGCGCTCGAATTATAATCATGCGCCCGGAGTTTCGACTCAATAAATCACGACTTTAAATCACGCGTTGAGTTCTGACTTTGAAATTAATCTTGCTCGTTGAATCACGACTTCGAGTCATGCGTTAAGTTGTGACTCAATACATCCTGACTTCAAGTCATGTGGTAAGTTCGGACGCAATAAATCACAACTTCAAGTCACGTGTTGAGTTCTGACTCAATAAATCACAACCTCAAGTCACACGTTGAGTTCCGACTCAATAAATCACAACTTCGAGTCACACGTTTAGTTCTAACTCAAGAAATTACGACTTCATTCAATAAGTTATGACTCAATAACTTCCCGACTTCACTTCATAACTTTTGACTCAATAAATTCGCTCGCTGACTCTCAAAAATGGCCGTCAGGGAAGCCGACGGTCACGGCAGGCGCGGCTGTGGTTCATTGTTGAAGGCCATGAGCTAGCGTGACGTCATCGTGACGTCACTCACACCTCTCCCCCACTTTGCCCTCTTTCCCCTCTGCCTTCTTATTAAGTCCTCTCCTGTGCCCCCCCACCCATTCAACTCAGTGCTAGACTCCAACTGAATGGCTCTGCTCCCGTTGTTTAATGATACAAATCGATTGAATTAATTTATAATTGAATAATGGAATGATATAGAAATCTAAACCAATCACGATGATGGCTGGAGAGCTATCGAGTCCTCGAGGGCATGAAGCTTTCAGAAATCGCTTTGAGAAAATTAAAGCAATACTTCTTTCCTGTGAAGTTGCTAATAAAATATCAACAACATGTGTTATATGGCTGACTGCACCGAAGTGCCTTATTATTCGCCGTACATAACATAAATTTGAGAAAAATTATAATAATAATGTTGGAGTCTCATGAACATTGCTAAACATTATGTAAGGTAATGGATTTATTAAACGCTGAAAGGATATTTTTCACAAACGTTTCTTCACTCTACTCCTGCACTCGGACATTAAACAATCGGAAGTTCCCATAGTTCGTTCGCAAACGCAAAGGCCGGCTATACTTAAGACAGCGTGCGAGTTAAGGCCAGCTATACTTAGCAGGACAGCATGCGAGTGAAGGCCGGCTATACTTAGCAAGACAGCGTGCGAGTGAAGGCCGGCTATACTTAGCAAGACAGCGTGCGAGTGAAGGCCGGCTATACATAGCAGGACAGCGTGCGAGTGAAGGCCGGCTATACATAGCAGGACAGCGTGCGAGTGAAGGCCGGCTATACATAGCAGGTCAGCGTGCGAGTGAAGGCCGGTTATACTTAGGAGGGCGTTTAACGAGTGCAGACCGGTTATATATAGCGTTTGGTGTTTGAGTGCCGGCCGGCTATACATAGCAGGTCGGTGCGCGGGTGCGGGCCGGTTATACTTAGCAGGATCAATGGTATTTGCGTCACGGGTTAAAGTTGCGGGAGCCCGCCGTGCCTTCCCCGCCCACGGCTGCCTACCCTCCTTTATACCCGGGGGATGAATGCCGGTTTTCAGCGTCTGTTTCTTCCTCTCTTAGTCTTTGTTCCTATTTAAATCTCTGCATAATTTCAGTTCTAGTAAAACAAAACCTTTCTAAAGACAAGATGATTGTACAAGAAAATTAAAACAACTACAAACAAAAATCCGGTTTTCGAAGTTCAGAGAAATGTTCAGTAAAACACAAGGAGTTTTTAATACACAAAAGTTTTCTACGCATACACAAAAACTTTCCAGTACAAGTATAAGAGGTATTCATTAAAAATATAAAAATTATTAAGTATCAACCTAAGAAGTTACATAAACGTGCATAAATAAACACAAAAGAAAAAAATAATGAAAAAGAGAAGAATAAGAAAAAGAACGATTAAAGAAATGGAAAAGACACGATAGGCGTGAGCTGTAATAAGTAATACAGAATGTTAGAAAAGCACGATGCTAATGAATTGGATGAGAGATAACAGGGATTCAAATAACAGGATGCAAAAGCATGAATTTAAATATCCGAACTGTATATGATATAATAAATTTTTGATAAATGAAGGCATAAGTGCAATACCAGAAAATCATAGGAAGCTAATTTCATGGAGCCGAATTGAGTCGATAATTAGGTACGGGAAATTAATGAGCAGATATAATAGGAATGGGAAATGAGAGAGCGCTGTGGAAATGAATGGTCTCGCCTGATGTCAGACGACCGAGGTCATTGCTAGATCTCGCCTGATGTCAGACGACCGAAGTCATTGCTAGATCTCGCCTGATGTCAGACGACCGAAGTCATTGCTAGATCTCGCCTGATATCAGACGACCGAAGTCATTGCTAGATCTCGCCTGATGTCAGACGACCGAGATTATGACTCGATCTCGCCTGATAACATAGCGGTGTCAGCTTTTATTAGGCCGCTAAACCTGTCCTCGATTTTTAACATAGCAGAATATTCACAGCTTGTTTGCGGGTCTCAAACACGCAAGCCACAGCTTGTATTTTGCTTTGTTTAACCGCCTTCCTCGTTGATTGCACCAGAACTGTCGCAGGAAGCCAAAACCATAACATATAGTTTAACTGAATTACAATTTACTGAACAAACTAGTCTACCCTCAGATTTTTACATGTTGAAACTGAGCAATGTTTGTCGGCCACGACATAAATTGTTTGTTGGCCATCTTTCTGAGCTTTTAGCTTCTTCATTGAGGAAAAAACATTTTACATCAATGGAGAAAATTTCCTTCTGATCTCAGCATATCAGATTATCCTAGGATTATTAATATACATTAACACGTTCGTCATTCCCATTTTTCAGCAATTTTTAGAGAGCTCCGTTCATTTTATCTCGCCTTATCAGAAAGTGAAATTATTGAACAGTTATTTTCACAGAAGACTACTGCATTTTGATGGCGAGTCTGAAATATTCCGAATGAGGCCGAAAGATATTTTGAATAAGAGTCAGGGATTCTAAGGTCATGTTTTTGTTGGCCAACTTTGGTAAAAATAAATCTTAAATTTAATTTTATTTTTAAACAAGCCTGCCGCGTTTGTTCGATTTTCCCTCGGCCCAATTATATGCAATGTGCTGCTGTAACCTGGGATTTTTCCAGCGCTCAAAGAAGAGATCGAAAGAAGGGCGAATGAATTTCAAATTCGATAGATAAAATAATTATCTATCGAACATATATTTAAAATAGATAAATAAAAAGAAAAGACCAAAAGAGGAGTAAATGCCTTTTAAATTCGATATGTAAAATAGATAAATCAATAAGATATTCAACTACTAAAATGTAGGCGACAGCTGAGCGTCTGCCGCCTCCCGTTGCCATGGCGACCGCAGGCACGCGCGGCTATTTTGGGCGCCGCGGCACCCAGAGTCCCTCCTCTGTCTCTGCAGACCTAATAAATCTGCCTCTGCAGCCCTAATAAATCTGCCTCTGCAGCCCTAATAAATCTGCCTCTGCAGCCCTAATAAATCTGCCTCTGCAGCCCTATTAAATCTGCTTTGTAGCCTTTCTTATGAAGCCTAAACAAATCTTAATTTAACTCAGTATCACCGTAACATGTAATAAAGTTTTCAGTCGAGATGAGTAATAATGATGCACCAATCATCGCAGGTGTACAGATGATACAGCAATGCACTGTGCACAAACGCAGTGCACTTCTCTATTCGAAAGGTCGAAACAAAATGCACATTGTCTTCACTAACGATACAAATAAACTGAATTGGGGATAACAAAGTTCATTAGTATCGCTTGCATTGAAGATAACAAAGCGTTATTGTCAAAACAATAACAAATGACGTCGCACAATTTAATCCAGAACGTTTCATAAGGTGGAACATCTCATCCAGGTTGACAAGATGCCTAGATGCTGCGTTGTATAGATGATTTCTATACAAACCTGCCATAATTTTTTAGTTCAATTGAGCGTTAATATATTATAGTATTGCTTTGATCAATTATTTTCGTGTCTAGTAATAACTCCATATTATTAACTAACTTATATATGTATATAAAATCAGTCAGACTTCATAAGTCCGCATGAAGATGATTTTCGTATGATATTTTGTTTATTATTATCAAATATTATTTAAATATTACCTCATATATCTGCCATATTATCGAACAAACAAGAGAGATGCTTAAGGCTTCACCGACTTCAGGCTTCAACCTCCTGCCTACCTAACCTACAACCAAAAATTCTTCAGTTGTCTGCGGTGTCGCCAAAAGGATTTCAATAAAGTCATAATGCAACTTATGATACCAACAAATTCTACGGCAAAGCTTCGTAAGCTTTCATTGAAATTTAATCCTATACTTGCTATCTTAACACATTGAGGGCCTAAAAACGGCCAATTCGCGGATAAAAAGGCATTTAATTCAAAATATACTAGTAATTTAGTAGGTTCCGGTGTAAAAATATTTTTTTCCGCAATCTTTGAATTTTAATGAGATAGTCCTGCAATTAGAAATTTCTGTCGACAGATGCTATTGAAAAATAGGTAAATCGATTAATTAGTTCGGAAAAAAGACGCTGCAACCCACCGATGGGCCGTGCCCCACTAAACGTGTTAATACAAGGCATCAAAGCGAGCTTGTCAAATATGAGATGTAGGCGTTAACGACTTACATGCTGGAGCAGTAAGCAAAATATGCTAGAACGATACAACATATATACCCTTAATTTCACACATGAACCCTGCCAAACAATATTCGTATGTAAATGCCTGATACCTACAGTTTTCGTCGGTAGATCAATGGTTAAATTTTCTCATTATTTCTAAAAAATCATGTTTGTGTCGGAAGGTTGCTGTCGTCATGACGATTGGCAGCTGCCAAAACCAGCCGACGCTGAATCAACCAACGTTCAAACAGTTTGCACCATCCACATACAACTTATCAAAACTGTTTACGTAAAATGACAAACTTTGTTTCTCACACATTCACACCCATATTTATGAGCATCTGTTCCGAGAATATCAATGAACACACTCCCCATAAATGACGTCTTGTTGGACCTACACAGACGTACTGCTGCACAAACGTCACACATAGGAATTATTCGATATTGTTATAGAGATAAAGAATTTATAACACTAGAACATTGAAGTTAAAAACTTCAACGCTGTGACCATAAACCAGTGGTGCATAAAAATTTTTACGAAAGTTTTTTGACTCGCCTCTGAACATTATAATAACGAAAGTAGACAATTAATCCAGAACAATTAATCAAAATTTAACAGAAGTTAGGGTACCCCATTTAATTAAATATACGTAAAATAGGTAGAGAGGAGTTTGATATCATTTTTAAATTGATGAAAGCGAATGCAAATTCATATATCAACTCGGGATACACAGTTAAAGGAGATGAAGCTTAAAAAAATAAAATCACGATCGAGTTACTGAAGAAATATAATGTAACACAAAAAATATAATCACACAACGTAGGATGCTGCTCCAAACTGTTACATTTTTTATTACAAAGATTTTGTTCATGAAGACTAAACGAAGAGAGTAAAAAATATTTATAAGATTTGAGACTGCACATTGAATGGCGGTACTCATTTTTTTCAAGTTCTGCCTTAAAGTTTCGTTATGGTATTTATATAGAATTCTTTATTATAAAAAGAAAATTAAGAGTTGAGTTCCCTATATACGTATACGATGCTTCGCTTCCGCTCAGGGATCAGCTTGTGTTTAATAAGTGTCATTGTAATTGAGAATTATAACACCGCGTAGTTGGTAAAAATTGCAAATAACTTTCCAACAGTCGCCGCAATGATTAGCCCTGTTACCTTTAGTGTCGTCACTAGCGGAGATAGACTGAGCATTTCATTTAACATTTCATTTTCATGAAGCTACTTTATCACTGTGAATCAGGCTGTTAGTACCGTCATAAGAAACGAAAGAGGATAAGAAGTAATATTATGTAATAAAATCGTGTTCATGTAGGACGTCGTACTAGTCCCAGTGAAACAGGATAAGTGTACAATAATTAAATCTTGTATTACGTAGGTATAGTGCGTCCCAGTGAAACTGGCTTTGGGCCCCGTTTTGAGCATATAAAATACATGAGTAAGCCGAAATCAGACCGACCTTTTTGGTACTGGGCCACTCTGGAGTAAGCGTCTTTTTTGGAGCGAGAGCCGCTGCAACCCATGCCGAGCCACCGCATGAGGGCGCGCATCGGAGGAGCGTCGCGCTGCCAACGTCTAGGCCCCGGGGTATCACCAGAAACTTTTCTTCGGGAAAATTCTTCGGGAAAACTTTTCTTCGGGAAAAAGAAGGGTAACCAGAAACTGTTTTTAGGTATTGGAGTCGCGGGTCACCAATAACTATTATTTAGGTCCCCGCGCCGGAGGTCACCAAAAACTGTTCTTTGAGGGTTGGCGCAGGGAGGTCACCTAGAACTATGCTCTTGGCGCCGGGGAGTCAGCAAGAACCAATCGAGCTGTCACACACTTTCTTGGATTGTGGAGTTACGATAATGAATTTGATGCAGATAAATTAACTATACCAGTAGAATAATATATTTAGTGCAGAAAAAAATTTGTAGCGAGGTAAGAATTGAACAAAATGAATTTGTCATGACTAATTAGATTTTTGATTTCGACCCATAGCGATAAAAAAAATTGTTTTAATTAAAATATCTGCACAGTGGAAGAAGAAAATTAGATTAGAATTTTTTGCCTGGAACGAATCGATAATAAATGAATAAAATTTTCAAATTTTCCCCTCGAGTGACTATTGAATATTTGGGGATTTGAATTATTGGTATTAGATATTAGGCAATGTCCTGCGTGCGCACCCTAATTGAATAAACCTGAGTCTTGTTATTACGTTATTTTCACAGGATTTGAACGTGAAGAATTATGTTGTATTTTTTTGTCCAAGATAGGATTGAAGTTAAAAAGTGATACACGCAAGTTTTCAAGCCTTCTGCGCTGTCAGATCCCATTTGATTTATAATATTTATTTTCCGTAGTTTGACTGTTCGATTCCCTTTGCGCTACTGATTTGTCGGAACAGTGAATTTACATGAAATATTCAGTTACAGAGGAGCCTCTCAGTTAACTCAGAAAATCAGAATTTTAATAGAGACAGAAAAACTATATTAAAATTTCAATGTAATATAAAATTATATTTGCTGAGTCGACTGTCGAGTCAACGTGAGTGACGAAGAAACAAATTACGTTGAATTAGCGTTGATTGCGAGTTTATTTCGTTAAAATATCGTTCAATCAACAATACTTCAATGTCGTATGTCTGGTGGCAAGTGTAATTAAGTGTTTCTACGAAAGGACTGTGGATGTCGACGTTTCGTTTGCTATGAAAGTAGCCAGGCAAGCGGCTTTAAGTTTCGTCGTTGCTTTAATCTCCTAAAATCGCGCAATGACACACAAATATACCATTTGATTCGATGAATTTTGAACGAAGTATAATTTGGCAAATTCAACTCTTCATAAACTGACAAATTAACATCTTGTTTGCAATTTGTTCACAGTTGTATCATCGCGAATTTAATAGACATCTTCCATCCATAAAACAACTATTCAACATGAAAAAACAAGATTTTAGCACATGGGTAAACTAGAGCATGGGGTTTTCTAAATATTGAATGAATCAATTGATCATTAACATTGATTAATATCTGAAATTTTATAACTGTTTGTCAAAGCGTGGTTGCGGGACTCACTTAGAGTCGGATTTTAGAAATATGGTAATTGGAAAAGCGAATTAATCAAAGCGTGCCCTGAAACCGACTCCAATAGAATTAGTTATGGCAATTAATGATGTATAATTGGCATAATTCATGCAACATTCATTATGTATCTTATAAACAACAAATAACAGCAACAGTTTTAGATGCAATCTCGCGCCGCCAAAATTCATTAGGCCAGTTAATTTGACGTGAGAAAAATTTTTCATCCATCCAAATTAATGACTCCTAAATAATGACGGAGGTATCGTTTATAGAAATATTTTTGAATGTCATTTCATCAGGGCGCTTTTATTGAATGATATCTACACATGTCGATTCTCTCAATCACATTCAACCGATTTGCCTCCCAAAGTTATATTGCAAGGGTATCCATATCCGTTGAAAACAAGGTATCCATACCCCAGTCCACTATTCGTTAATTTCTCCAAAACACTGAACTGATGAAATGTCGATCACAACTTATCATCCTAACTATTAAACTTTGAATGTTTCAACTTGTAATCTTCATTTTAGTTCTAGATATTAATCAGAACTCTCGATTTATTGATGCGATTGTTTTTTTAATGGTTCTGGTAAAAATATTTCAATTATCCTGAAACTGTGTTGAACGATTACAAGGAAAACATGAGAGATTTTCTGTTTCAACATAGGACTTCAACCCCGACTTAGGAACCCGAGTTTATCATTTTAATATTCAGGGTGAGAACTGAATAAGCAGTTGAAATACAATTACAATGAATCAATTTTCACAAAGAAACTGATATAAACATGGAAAGTGTATACAGCAGGTTTTTTGAGCCATCAATGATCAATGAAACTCTTCATTGCTCACAGTGAATCTGTCATGCGTATTGTTCGTCTGTATCATTCAAAAGCTATAGATTATTTTCTGACATGCGACTCAAGCTTTCCGGAACTTCGAGCACATCATTAACTAAAATCAATATTCATTCACACGCGACATTCCATCAGATAAAAACTTCACGGAAGCCTCTTGTATAAACACTCGTCTTCACATTTTATGTTCACATCGAAACACATAATAAGCAGAGTTCACAAGAATACTTTTAATAAATGCTCGTCCTCATGAAAATGCTCGTCTTCACATTCAAAGTTTGAATAGAAACATCGTCAGAGTTTACAAGAATTGCGCGTTGTATTTATGTTGTGAAGGCGGTCTTCATAAGTTAAGTCATAAGTCACGTGTGATCCAAACCCGCACACGACATTTATGCAATCCCGACCGGGTAAGGTCCCCTGACTATTTATGGCCCCGCCAGCTCTATGTTTGGTTGGTTTCAAGTACAATAAACTTGAATGTTCCTTTATCCTATCGTCAATTGCAATGCCAATGCATTTATATTTCATCGCAATAACCACTTCATGGGTGTGATGGTATAGCAAATAAGATATTTTCATAGAATCCAGCGGGAGAGCACGGCAACTCCACCTCACACGATGGCACTCACACGACGAATGCCAGCACTACATCCACGCCGCCTGCCACGCGCTGCTGCCGGCAACCCAGACGGACGTCAGCGCCTCTGCATCGGCGACTTAACGCGCACCTTTTCCAGCCAGCGTCAACGCGTCTGCATCTGCGGCTTAACATGCACATTTTCAGGTGCATGTAATGCAGGATGCTATCCTGCCTGCAATTATCCTGCACCTGAGATTTATTATCTTGCACCTAAATTTATTATCCTACCTGCGGCTTAACATGCAGTGTCAGCGCATCTGCAATGGCGGCTTAACATGCACCTTTTCAGCCAGTGTCAGCGCGTATGCACCGGCGGCCTTGGATGCACCTTTCCCAGCTAGCGTCAGCGCGTATGCTCCACTGACCTTTACCGTTCACCTTTTTCTCAGCCCATGGCTGAAGCGTGTGACGTCAAGCTGGCCCACGGCATGATTTGATTTATAGGAAATGATTGCGTAAGAAGCCGAGATAAATTACATTGGAATCCGTTCCATAATCAAAACGCACAAGGTTGAACAGATAGGGTAACATGGGGCAGCGAGCCCACTGCGGGTCATGGGCCCATAGCCGGTTACTCGCTAAGTATGGCAGATATTGGTCCGTGTTCTCTACCGCCGGTCGACAGTTTCACTGGGATGAAGTATACGGATTTACGTTTTGCTAAATGTTTTCGTTATTTTGTTATTTGTGAATAACTGTTTAGCCCAGATAATTTTTTTTGGCTGCTAAATAAAACTGTTTTCGATTACTGTAGATGAAGCTTTTGAATTTACTGTGAATTATATTTTGAAAGTGATATTTATAGGGATAATTTTGAGATTAAGTTTAGACTGCTAGCTTTTAAAATAAAATGTTGACACGATATAAATTGAAATGATACCTAGCGGGGCAACGGGCCCACGCGTGTCACGGGGCAAAGCGCCCATAGTGAAGTCTTGTATTATACATCATTAGATTTGTCTCAATGACCTTTTCAAAACTATGACTAGCTTTTTGAATTACAAATTACACTTCATATTGCATTATTTTTTGATTTGCCGCCTCAAGGCAGCAGGTTTAGTTTCTAGTTAAGCGTATTTATGACCCCTAATCGAGTTATTGACTCTTGCCTTGCCAAAAGTTGATTTCAGTCAACACCAATGAGCCAAAAGTTTATGAGTTTTTATGGTGTTAGCTGAAATCACGATTAGGTACGAATTCTCTGCGCATAATATCTGGATTATGGACAAAACTGGAACGAATTTTTTTTTTCTGATCAACAAAATATATTTTTCCTAGTCATAGATACATTTTTTCATGTCAAGTATGATTTTTTATCGCAAGGATATATTTTTCAAGTCAAGGATATATATTTTTATGTTAATGAAATATTTTTTTTTCACGTCAGTGATAGATTTTTTAAGCCAAGAGTATATTTTTTAGCAAGTTAATGACATGATATTTTGAGTTGTTAATAAATGAATGAATTACATATTTTTTATTACATTTTTCTTATTTTTAACTCTAAAGTGTTGTTTTATCATTTTTAAACCAAAAATATGCAATTGTGGTAAAGGGACCAAGGGTGGGCGCCTTGCCCCAAGCCCATGGGCCCATTGCCCCAGGGGTGGGCAATGGGCCCATTTTGACACTTTTTACAAAATAGTGTTTCATTAAAAATTTAATAACTCTATATCCGTCTAATTTGAATCGTACATTCCTCATTAGTTGTAACTTTAAACAAAACAAAGAACCACCTCGTATCAATTAATTCTTCATCAAAAATTTAGTTTAAAAAAATAGGGGGGGAGGGCGCTGCCCACATGTTGCCCTATTGTCGGGAGAACGCAGCGGGGCAAAAGGAACAAATGAATCTTTCGGAAATGTAAGAGCGGCAATGAGAAGAAGAAACCATAAGCAACTTAACAAAGAAGGAAATAATCGAATAACAAATACTTTATAATGACTCTTGTGTCTACTGCATCTCCAAAGAAGTGCCACTAGTAAATAAACGCTGCAGGATACTTATGGGAATTATTTGGTGGTCACTTTTACCGCCAAGTCTTGTCAATTTTACGTCCTCACACCAAACGTCCAGAATTATGCGTAGATTTTCATTCAATCGTGCTCATTCACCATTATTATCATCGCTGAATGGAAAAAGCCATCGTTGATTTCTCTCTTTCAGCTATTTCTCGTTAATGTAATTACATGCATTACTAATAATCACGTTCCTAAACTAAACTGAAGCCTAAACGGACAAACTCATACATTGCCTTTCCTAAATGTACGGTTGAATGGATGATGCACCTGTTCAAAAATTTTCGTACTAATTGTCTTGGCAATTTTAATGCCAATCAGAGAGCGATAGTTATTCCCTATGAATTTAGAAGCAAAGATGTTAAGAAAGTTCACCATTTCTTAATTTAAGA